GGAGGTGACTGCATTGGAAAGACGGTTTGTTATTCATGGACCCCGGAAGAGAGGGCAGGTGTTGCTGGCAGGGCCCGCCGGGAGACGGGGATGGAGGGGCCTTTGTGGCGGACTCCCCGGGAAGGAGAGTGAGGGGTGGACAGATGCCCGCCGCCCCTGTAGGAGGCTGTTGGGTGGCAGACTGGGTGTAGGTGCAGGCGTGGGCTGGTTTGCATGGGAGGGGCGTGCTCCTCACTGCCTCTGGGCGTTGGCCGACCCTGGAGCGTCTCCCCCAGCGGCGAGGCTCAGAGTCAAAGCGTCAGATAAAGTCAGAGATGTGGTTCTTACACCAGGGAACTGGCCCCTCGACCTGATTCAGACAGAAGGATACAGGTTCTTCATGGACAAGTCGAATCCCTCAGACAATCACTTTGAGGTTGGCGATAACCTAGGATAACTGCTGTGATAACGCGTCCTGACTCACAATGCCGGAGTTAGCGCCTTCCCGGGACTGTCCCCCGTTGCTCGCGGTAAGGCTGAGCGGAAACTTGCCACTGAAGAGCACGTGCAGTTCTCAGCTGCAGAGAGAGAGGTCTGGTGAGGGACACGTTAGCACCGCGTACGGTGACAGATCGACTCACGCTTCACTGGCCAGGTGGTCGTCTTTCCTGGTCCCACTGCGTAGCAGGTGACCACAGGGCCCGAGTGGCTCAGGACTCTCCGTTTCCTCCCTATCACGTAAAGGCTGCAGGCAGCCGCCACTCGGCTCCAGGGCAGTTAGCACCACGTGTCTTGGGGAAACGCTGCTTTCGTGGCAGAAGGCAGAGCAGGAGAGGGGGGCACCCACACAACTGCAGGTGGAGAGACGCTCAGGTGGAACGGGCCACGTCCTCCCCCTTCTGGCCTGAGCCAGAGCGTGGGCCAGGGGTGCCATGTGGCCCCCTGCAAGGCGCAGGGCAGGAGGGGCGCGCACGACCCCAACGGGAGGGGCTGAGCGATGGGGCACAGGACGCTCTGTCTTGATGTCAACCTCACTTACAGAAAGGTTTAAATTACCGCAGACTTTTGAGTTAACTTCTTTAGGTCCCTCTGAATAATCTGGTATGTCTGAGCTTTACCGTCTTATTAGTAACCAAGAAGAAAGTGCATGATCTACCCCTAAAATAAGCTACAATTGGGTAAAAGTAGCAATTTGGTCAAAAACGAGCATTGGGGATTTGAACACATATTGAGTTGATCTTGCAACCCTGTCATTTTCCTTACGGAGTTTTTCTAGGTTTTTTCCTACTGTGTCCCCCCACCCATTTTATTATTAGCTACTTTTTCTACTCCGTACCGTTTGAAATAGTGAAAAATCAGAAAAACCTAAACATGCAGGAGGGAATTTGTTGGGACCCTCTAAATATGCAAACTGCTACCAGTTTCATTTGTTTCCTGTATTTTTTCTCACAAGTGAACATGCATTTTTTTATTCTAAAAACTGAGAAATCAAATAAAAAGCATAAATAGCATTTGACCTTAATGCTCAGAAATAAATAAACCTAGTTCCAGATCTTTCCAAACAACATTTGTATGTGTATATATGTACTATGATTTTTCCCTACAAAATGGGATCATAATGTATGTACTTTCTAAATTAATCACACTTATTTTAAGCAATTACAAAAGAATTTCCATTTACATTGTTGCAACTAAAGCATATTATTGAAAAGTTTGATCTAAATTTTTGCTATTAAAAATGCAAAAGAGAAATAATTGCCTGAAAATGATTGAAAAATTATAAAGCCAAGAAAGGACATATTTCTGAAGAATTCAGAAAAAAATAATTACACAAGATTACAACGTGCCCTCGTAATTCTCCAAAATTACCGTTACACGGAAATTCAGCAATTAGGGAATGTTCATTTTTGACCAAATTATCTTTTTCAACCAAATTGTCATGCTAGCTACATTTCTTTAGGGTGTATTTCCTCACAGCCACGTGCTGTCTGCAAGGTCACCTGGAAACAATCACTGTCATTTGATACGAGATGATGTCAACTGTCCCACCTGGTTCTGAACTTTACTTAGATGGTTGTGAGATACATGGTCTCTCTCTCTCTCTGTCTCTGTCTGTCTCTCTCTCTGTCTGTCTCTCTCCCCTCTCTCTCTCTCTCGTAGCCTCACTGAAATGTATTTTTATTGAGGTAGCATTGCTGCATATTTATTTTTGATAATTTGTATTATGTTCCATCAAGATTAATGAATAATTTATTCTTTTCCTTCCTTTCATATATTTTAAATACTGCTCTTTCCTACTGCATCTTAATTAAAATAGTCTGCCAGGTGTCATTAATGAAATTTATATTCTTTTCATCTATATAGCAAGGCTTTTCTTCCTCACACATAAGAATATTAACTTTTTCTTACTGTAACTTATTTTTAATCTACAGCTACAGTATCAGAGAGATTGACATGAATCACAAAACAATCCAACAAAAAACTGGCAATTGCTGAGTGGCGAAATTGGCGCAGAATAGATTTGAGTATCACTTTAATATTCCTTAATTTTGAACCGTTAGCCACAAAGCCTATTTTTTCTCTACAGTAGTCATTTTGGGCTGTGGTCCCCAACCCCCGGGGCCTGTTGGGAACTGGGCCACAGAGCTCCGCCTGCCCCCACCCCCGTTGGTAGAAGAATTGTCTTCCATGAAACTGGTCCCTGGTGCCAAAAAGGTTGGGGACTGCTGATTTCAGGAAAGCAAAGTGGACAAGGGCAGCTATTATTCTGACACAGAGATCATTGAAACCTACAATTGAAGAAAATAATAGATTTAGCTACTGTTTAATATATTTGCAGTTTACTTAATAGGTTTGTATTTCGTCTGTTTACATTGCATTTCTGTATGACAAGAAAAGACAGAGTTTGAAAATAGAATAATTTTACTCTTTTCTTCGTTTTTTTTTTTTTTGAGCAGATAGAAGTAAACACATTAGCAAGGAATTTGGGACGCGGGACTCTCCCCGCTACCCATCCGTCCACCTGGAAGCCAGTTAGGGAGGGCCCGCCGTCCCGGACATCGACACCACACGCACAGAACAGGCACGCGCTTTGCCGGTTTGGGGCCTGCGCTTTGGCAGGAAAACAGGCCGTCAGACAAGTGGGAAGAGCCGCGGTTTGGTGGGGACTCGAGCTGGGCAAGTGCAAGGCAGGGCTGGTGCCCACTGGGGAGGGGTGGAGAGGCCTACCAGGACGCGCGTGGGGTGGGGACCCGGAACAGGCACAGGGGAGGACAGGATGTCGGGTGGGGCGCAGTCTTCAGGGACAGCAGGTGACCCGCAGGCTCCAGGAGTGGCGAGGAGTCCGCCGCGGGGAGAAGGCAGTACCTGGGGATGACAGGAGGTGCCGGCGCGCCCAGCCCAGTAGCAGCACCCGGCAGAGTCTGGCCTGTGCGCCGAGCAGGGTCCATGGGAGGGGCGAGCGGTCACCCCGTCGGTGTACATGACAGATGGGCAGGGCCGGGGGAGGAGAGCGGTGGGTGAGGACTCCGCCGGTCCGTGGGGCAGACTGGACGGTTGGGCCAGGGCGGGGCAGCAGGCGCTGGGAGTTCCTGAAGCTAGAGCCCCAAGGACCTGCTCATGGGGAGACGGCAGCGGGGAGACAGGAGTGGCAGCCACCAGCAGTGTGCCCTGGGCAGCTCGAGAGCGGGGCTGCTGCTCCCTGAAAAGGAACGAGGACAGAGGCGGCTTTTACAGGGCAGGTCACAGTCCGGCTCCGTCCGGTTTCCTTTGAGCCGCCTGTTGAACATCCGCACGACATGACGAAGCTGGGTCTCAGACTCGGCATTGAAGACCCTGGCGGAACGCACCCTCGGGAGCCGTCGGGGAGCAGATAGTGTTGGACAGCACGAGGCTGAGCGAGACCCCAGCAGGTGGATGTCGCAGGACAGAGATGCAGCCCGAGGGCCCTGCAGGGCGATGTCAGGGGACGGCGGGGAGGAGCTGGCCGGGGGACGAGAGGACGCAGCCCTGGGTAGAGCTTGGCCTCCCACCTCGCCAGGGGTGTGGCAAGAGCCTGAGAACCAGGCGGGAAAGCCAGGCTCGCTGCTGACGGGTAGGGAAGAGCGCTGAGACGGTAGCGGGAGGCAGGGCAGTGGAGGGCAGGCGCTTCCCAGGGACGTCTCCGTGGGGACAGAAGCGTGGACGCTGGACCCCGAGAAGAAGACCCAGCAGGCTGCTCCACCCCGCCCTGGGCAGGGAAGCCACAGAACTAGCCCCATGGCTCCCTCTGGCTTCGATTTTACTTGAAGATTTGGGAAAAATTATTTTGAGCCAAACATGTTATTTTTTCATGATCTTAATATAAAACTAAAAGACTGCAGAGAACTTGTCCCTCGGTGCATTAGGGCTTCATTCCCAGAACCGCAGGGGCAGGAATCCTCTCTCCTCCGGTGAAAGTTTGGGACTCGCTGGCAGGAAACTCTCCACAGTCAGTGGATTTGCCTTTGGGGTCTGGGCGGAATGGAACGTTCCTCTGTGTTGTACTAGCGCAGAACCCGCCTGCACCGCGACTTTAGCAATGCACTACTCGCGGCCTGCGTGCGGTCGGCTCTCCAGACCCGCAGGGTCCGCTGCTGCAGGCTCAAGGAACTGCAGATGGAAAATAGTTGAAAAAAATAAAATAAACAATAACAATACAACAATTAAAATAATACAAATAAAGAACAACATACTATAGCAGCTATTTACATAGAGTTTGCGTTGTTCAGGGTGTTAAAGTGACCTAGAGATGATCGTTGCGCGCACGCACTACGCCATTCCGCAGGAGGAGCCGGAGCAGGCGCGGATTTCCGTGTGCCGGGCCCGGAACCAATTCCTCTCAGATTCTAAGGAACAACTGACATTTTTTCTCATGTAAAGAAATTTGCCAGTTGACAGCACCTTCGTAAGGCGACATGGACCCTTCCTGAAATTATATTGAACTTTTCATTAAATGAAGAATATTTGATTTTTAATAATATCTTTTTTTCTTTTCCTGCCAGCCCCTAGAGGTAATGCTGAAAGCACTTCCAATAGACAGGTGAGTATGTCTCTATTTTAGCCTTAATAATTCGCTGGTTTAATTATAGACAATAAAAATCCGGGGTTATGTCGATTTGCGAAGCCCAGTTCCTTCCCAGAGAAGACACCGTCCAGGTGCGGCAACCTGCACTGGGAAACCCCGGCGGGAACTGAAACAGCCTCGCAAAATCCTGTCTGAATCGTCAACTCATCGAATCATTAACGTGAAGATTTTGCCATAATTTTTTAACTATTTAAAATTTCAATTTTTTAAAATTCGAGTTCCCTTGTTTTGTGGAAATAGTTGTCTTTGCAAACTATTGTCTGGGTGTTTGTAATTTATCTCCTGCACTGTGTTCGGGTGCGTGAACTGCACACTCTGGGCACACAGTGACTGTTCTTTCTTCTAGTCCTAATGAGACGAGCGTTGGGCTCCAGAAGGGATTTTCAGTTCCTGCTGTGGCTGTTCATAGTCAGGGCTTGTGTTTCTGAGTCTCTCCTCCATATGCAATCAGAGGATGCAATGGCGGCACCTCCAGCCACCCAGGCCACGACCCATCCCAGCGAGGACGACGTTTTCCGCAAGATAAACAGGAGCGGATTCACGCCCGCTTCCACCAAGGCCGGGCAAAGCCCTCCTCTCTGGAGCGCTGCTCAGTTTGCTGTTGATCCCGTCTGCACCTGTTTGATGTCAGGCTGACATTTCCTGAGGCAAGCCCCTGTGTTTGTGGTGGGTTTTAAGTGGAGACCTCCAACACACACCTTGGATGTAATCTAAAACCATTTCATTAGGATAGATGTGTGATACGTTTTCCTCTGTGTAGCAAATGTTTATGGTTTTAACTTTTTACATCCCACCGCAAATCACTTATGCTTTAAAACAGGGCTGGTCTGAAAGCGATTACCTCGCGAGCCACAGACCTCCACGGGGCTGTTTTCATTAGATAACGGCAATTACTGCACACGTGTGCGCCATGCAACCCTAAACAAACTCAACTCCAAACACAAGCCCTGCTCTCCGCGTTTTCCCAGAAAGAGAAACCAGAGCAGTTTCTCCGGCTCTTGTTACGCTGCCTGAATGGATGTGCCGACTTCTGGGCCGCTACTCCAAGGGCTGCTCTGCAAACTGGGGTCCTGGGCGGAGTCCTGGCGGGCGAGCAGCCAGCCTGCCCGTGACATAGTAACTGTGGACAATATACGTCTCTCTGGAGACTAACGTGGTCCCAGCCGCCAAAGCCTTTCACCATGTGAGTAACCACAGACGAGAAAGGCCAAGTGAAGGGCTGACAGGAGCCACGAAGCCAGTATTTAACCACAGGTGAGCGGGCATCCTTGGTCTCCCATTTTCGTCACTATTCAGAAGTGACCAGAGCTACACAACCAAGCAGGTATTTATACAGGTGAAGATGTCAGGCCACCTCGTCCAACAATTCTGACACCTTCAGTGACTGGTAAAATACTTGAAGCGTCGTCTTTCTTCGTAACTATTAAAACAGAGATTCTCACCAGCTTAGTGTAGAGATACGTGCTCTGTCCTCATCACCCCCTCAGATCCTTATCAAAGGGAATAAAAGCCAAACAGGAGACTCCTAAACTTTAAAGTTTAATTATTTTAAATTAAAAAAACAGAAGCGTGGATCGACTTATATTTGTAAGAATTGGAACATTTGGAAAAATAAGTAATATATCAATATTTACAAACTTTTCAGGTTGCATTTCTTCTTAGAAAGGTAAAATAGTGAATGGAAAAGATGAAATAGAATATTAAAAAATCAGCTGTGCCCTTATCCCATTTGAGGCATAAATTAGATTATTAGAATTATTTTTGCATAACGAATCCATGGTGATGGTGATAGAAGATTCTGTAGAACATTCAATGTGTTTAGTCCACTGACAGTATTTGAAATAAATGCTAATTTTCTCCACTGATATATTTTTCCTGATGTTTCTAATTCAGTCAAGGGGGAAAGTGTTAGGAAGTTACCAGCGCCCGAAACGTCTTCGTTGTTTTTTGTGAATCCTTACAACTAAAATGGTTAGCGCAGCGCTCTTCCTTCTCTTGTTTTAAAACATTGCTTTTCCCGTGTTGTTGCCACATGGCTTATTCTATCCCTAGAACGCGAGCCTCGGTCCCCACAGATGAGCGATGCAAACTTCTTACAACGACGTCTCTTTTTCGTCTTTGTGTTTTTCAGCCAAGGAAGCAAGGATGAGCCGCTCACAGCCAAGGCAGTTCCTAGACATGTGGGAAACTCCCTCACCAAAGAGCAATTTAAAAAACAAAAACACATAGTATTTGCACTTTGTACTTTAAATGTAAATTCACTTTGTAGAAATGAGCTATTTAAACAGACTGTTTCGATCTGTGAAAGCTGGCTTTGCAAAATTAATCACATACAATGTATGTGCCCTGTTTTGACCTTTGAAATCTGCGCTCGGTGGAGATGAATTTTGAGTGCATCTAAGCTTAATCTCTCCGTCCTACACATTTTAACAGTAGAAATCTCAGCGTGAGGCTCTTCGGTTGCGATCCTGCGTCTTTCCCCCAACCAGAGCCGTGCCTGGCAGTCTGCGGTAGCTGCAGCGTCGTTGGACTGTTGGGAGCTTCACGTTTTCATAGACGTTTGAAACGTGCTGCTGACCCATCCTGCAGTTAACATTCACGGGTTGGTTTGTTTCTCGGGATTTTGTGTTTGTTTCCTTTTGCTTTCCAGAGATGGCACTCACACAATGAATTATGCAACCACTAAAGCAATCCAATTAAATACAGGTAGCGGTAGGAAAGGATATTTTCAAACTATCTTCGGTGTGATAGTTTGGTTCCAACTGTCTTTGTTTTTCCATTTCAAGCTTCTGTTTGAGTTCTGCCTTGGGCTCGGATTAATCCTGCCATTAAATGTCGAGAGAACGGCTCCCGCTATTGGGAGGCAGCCCAGAAGGAGCCCGTCCCGCAGGAAAGTGAATCCAGTTGTGGTGCCACTGAGCTCCACACGCTCGCTGCCTTTCCCCCCACGCACGGGGCCACTTCCCTCCTGCCGTGGCCCACCCCGGGGGCCCCCGGGAGGCAAAATTATCACCTGGGGAAATGATGGACAGCCCCCTAATGAGACACAGCCGGATGAATCGTGCCCCGGGCGTTCGTCGGCAGCCAAGCAGAAGCGCCTGCAGGGCCCACGGTTTCCTTCCTTCTGTCCCGAAGGCCTCAAGGACTTGCCCGCGGGAGGCTGGTGAGGGGGTGGGAGTGGGACGCCCCCACTGGACGGCAGGACCCGCCCGCAGTGTGCACGCCAGCTGCCAGCCCCAGACCGGGGCAGAGGTTGGCCCACGTGCAGTCCCCGCGGAGCCGTTCGGAGGGTGCTCCCAGAGCTGGGGCTGGGAGTTGAGGCCATCTCAGCTCAGACTTCTGGTTGGAAAAACATCCTCGTGTCCCCAGATCATCCAAACGCGACATGCAGAGTGATGTAGGTGGCTGTGCATGACAACGCTGAACAGGGCAGAAGCAAGAACCGAGGCTTTGGAGCCACAACCCAGCTCAAGTACTCGTCACGTTGTTTAAGAGGCAGTTACAATCCCAAACTTTCTGGATAATCTTTTATATTTCTGACCTTTGAATTTAATCACTTTTCTTAGATCAAAATAAAATATGCTATTGGAACTGTAGTTAGTCTTTTCTGTCCAGCTAAATACAGTCTTGTGATTGTTCTGTTTTGAAGGTGCTCCCGTCAGGGAGGTAAAGGCGCAATGCAGCCAGAGTGAGTGTGAACCCCGGGTCTGCCCCTCCGTGGCGTGTGCCTTTGCACCCTCACTCAGCCACGTGTGCCTCGGTTTCCTCCTCTTTGCAGCAGGAGGGTGGCGGCTGTTGTACTTCTCGAGAGGGAATTACACAGATAACACAAGGAAAGTGCTTAGAGCCTGGCACCTGGGCGTGCCGCTCACGCGTGTGTGTGTGTGTGTGTGCGCGCACACGTGTGCACCCCTACTGTGTGCAGCAGCCACGTGTCAGTGAGGGACACTTCAGCACTGCTGAGTGCTTCTTATGTCGCCGGTGCCATGGGGGCTTTAGAAGAAACAAAAGGAGCGTTCATGTTTTGATTAAAGACAGTTCTACTCACAGAGTCGCACAACTAGAAGCCGCGGGCGTCCTTACAGCTCCAACCGCACACGCGGTGTCCCTTCCCGCCGGCCCCCACTGTGTCCCACCAGGACCACGGCAGTGGCTTCCTCCAGGACTCCCCACTCCCTCCTGCTAAATCCCCACCCACAGTTTTCTCTCTCAGAAAGGAGTGAACCTCCGAAACCCAGCCTTGGCGCCGGTGAGGGGCACGGGCAGTGCGGCTCTGCGAGGAGCTGGGAGACGGCAGCCTCAGGAAAGGCTGCCCGGGGGGCGGGGGTGGGGCTGGGGCTGCGTCTGAGCCAGCGAGAGGACAAAGTGGCCACGGAGCCGAAAGAGCAGAACAAAGGCCGGGCGGGGGGAGGCGGCATGGACGGCAGCCAGCCAGCGCAGATGGTTCTCATCGCAGAGCACGGAGACTGCAAATCCAAAACAGAAACGTGCCCCTCACCTACGCAGTGCGGCTGTTTCCAGCGGAGGATCCTCCTCCCCAGCCCTGCCTCCCTCCTCTCATGGGTGCGAAGGCTCCCCTGCATCCCTGTCAAAAATCTCCTCGTGGGAGATTTATTTAGAAGCACAACAGCCAACACATAAATCACGCCCACGAATGCCACACTCGGAATTTGTTTAAATTATCAAGGTGAGAGGTTTCAGCTTTTTTGGAATCCATGTACAGAAATGATTGACATGATCATAAATGGTCAGTTGTACAACCAAATCATGCAAACAGCAAAGTTACTCCAGAAAGACTGTATGGGCGTGTCCAAAGCTAAACTCAGGTCCTGTGATGATGGCGATGATGGTGGTGATGATGGCGAATGGTGATGATGGTGATGATGGTGATGGTGGTGATGATGATGGTGATGGTGGTGGTGATGATGGTGATGGTGGTGGTGATGATGGTGTGATGGTGATGATGGTGATGATGGTGATGGTGGTGATGATGATGGTGGTGATGATGATGGTGGTGATGATGGTGGTGATGATGATTGTGGTGATGGTGGTGACAACGATGGTGATGATGGTGATGGTGATGATGGTGGTGATAATGGTGGTGATGATGATGGTGATGGTGGTGATGATAATGGTGATAATGGTGGTGATGATGGTGATGGTGGTGATGGTGATGGTGGTGATGATGATGATGGTGATGGTGATGATGATGATGGTGGTGATGATGGTGAAGATGCAGATGGTGAGAAGGATTATTTTCTCCCTAATACCACGCACTACTACATAGACCAAAATTTGAAAACATTTTTGTCTAATTGGATATTTAGCTATATTTTGGCATTTCTTCCTTCTAAAAAGTTGTGTTAGCCACCTTCTACTGTGATGCTATGAACAAGCCACCCCAAAACTCAGTGGCTTCAAACAGCACTCGTCTATTTTTGTCTCACTGCTGTGTGCTGGCAGGGCTTGGTCAGTCTGGTCTGGGCTCATCGGCCTCGGCTCTGGGCTTGTGAGGGGCACAGATTTGCACCTCTCCTCCTGCCAGGACTTGTGGGCCATGAGGGAGGTTCTCACACGGCTGTAGCTGATGCACGAGGAAGTAAGTTCAACTGCGCAAGCACAGGTCAAGCCTGCTCTTGTGACCCATCTGCTAATATCTCCAGCCACAGCCTACCGCCTGGTCCAGGCGGGGCACGTGGCAGGGAAGTGCATGCCAGGGGGCCACGGCAGGCTGTGGGTGTGGAAGGCTCCTCACAGGAACGACACCTCGCCGCCCAGTGCCAGCCGCACACAGGTGTCTGCAGGGCCTCCCACCGACAGAGCCAGAAGGCCGGGGAAGGGTGCTCCTCGGTGTACAGCCTCCGACCCCAGAAGTCACAGGTCACGGTGCAGGATGCGAATGGAACCGTGGACATCACAATGTGCCACCAGCACAACCTGCAGCAGGTTCCGACCCTCCCCGGCTTCAGCCTCTGAACCGTCGAACGGTGTTTTAATACCTCGTCCTTGGAGTTGCTGTAGGTAGAGTAGGGACACCCGTATCGAATGGCTGACGTGAAACAGGCGTTCAACAAACGGCGTATGAACTCACACTGAGGTGTCAGAACCGGTTTGTATCAAATGATTTTGAATTTTCCTCTTAAAAGGGCATAAAGGACAGAGAAAACTGAACCCAAGTCCCCGAGCAAGGGGACACACCAGGCTAAGAACCAACCGCAGGTCTTACCCGCTACAGAAGGAAACTCCCGATAGTGGAGATAAGTGAATTTATTCTGAGCCCCAAGAACTGCTAGGAACTGACTTACTTTGTAAGAAATGGAAGATAGAAAACCAGATCACAGTGGCCTACGTGCAGTTATTTTTCTCAGCACACAAGAGGACAGGGAGAGATCAGATGATCACTCATGTGCCAATGCAGCCAGGGTTGATTCGCCCGTTTGCGTTCGTTCCGTCCTCTCTGGAGGGCGGCTGTGTCCTGACACTGTGTCCCTGTGACCCCACCGGACGGGGCTGAGGGCAGAGTGCAGGCCGAAGGCTGAGTGTGGCACATTTCACGATTTCAGCTCTCCCGAGCCCCAGCTGGTAGCATTCTGCGGCATGCGTTGGCCACCAGCATCTCTTCCTGGCATGTCCAGCGTTAACTGGACACCTGCTGCCGGGATGCGAGTGGCTCTGTCAGCGAGGGGGGGAAGCGCGGGGCCCCGGGCAGGTGCCGGCCACACTGGACACAGGGACCCTCTCAGCCTTGATGGCACGTTGAACACCCAACACTTTGATTCCATCTTGTTTTAATGTAAGATAAACACCTTCTTTTCTGCCTGTTTTCTCTGGACAGCCGAATGCTTACTAAGTACTGAAAAAGTTGACAAGTTAATTCAATTCATGTGTGTAACATAGCAATAGTTTCTATATATTGTTAATTTTTTTAACTTCAGAACAAATATTTTGTTTTCTTACCTTAAAGTTGAAATCATGCTCAGTAAATAGGTTTTTCTTTTTTTGTCGCAAAAGACAGAATTTTATATTCTCTACTCGCCAGCTGTTCCGTTGCATTTTCGACCTACTGTTGCGCTATAGTCGGGAGGAACGGCGCCTTTTTACTCTTCTGCAGTCTTGTAAGTGCACCCCCAGGTAAGGCCCTGGATGTTCTGCTGCAAAATTTACACATTCATGATTCTCATAGTATTGTCATTGAGCTAAGTTGTATTATTTAAAACATATCAAACAATTCACTTTCCATCTAGGAAAATGGTCTTTCTAATTTGGTAAATAATATTATTAACTGAGTCCTGTTATAATAAAAGAAATGTATTTCTAAAAGTAAAATTTAATCATTTAAATGTGTTTTAGGCTGGAACTAGAATGTTGACTTGGAAGCTCGATTCTTTTTTTAAATGTCCGGAGGAAACAGTGGTTCTGACCCGTCAGTTCTGGTTCTCAGAACGCTCAGGTCTAAGCTGGGGCAATCCCTTCTCGACAGGTTGGTTCCCTCTGACGGTGCTCTGAGCCGTTTCTTCAGACGACCACCCCCAGCTCTCTGACTACACACACCGAGCCTGGCGTTAAATGCCTCATCTAGCTCGGGAAAGAGAAAAAAAGCAAAGACAGAACGTGCCGATTCAGGTACTCCAATCTGTAGGGAAAGGCGGCTCTTCCTGGCAGCCCCCGCACTCCCCATTGCCTATTCTGGAACGAACTAGAAACGCGGTACCTTCGCTGTGACATCCTTCCTGCGCATGCACACGTATTCCGCAAGGTCCCTGAGCAGTGCCTACAGCTTAAACATTTCCTCCTCCCCACGATGCCTAGTAATCGCGCGAAAGAGGCTCTGAGAAACTACTGTTTCCATGGACGCGTGAAAATGACCCCGCGTGGTCCACGAAGATTCTCAACAACAGGGTGTTAATAACACTGTACTCTACTTCACCTCCTCCCCCCGTCCTAGATTTAGAGACAGTGAGTTTTGACTTTTCCAAATATATTTGCCGGGAAAGTGTGTCCATTAAATGTAGCATTGAGAAATAAATTATATCCTGTCGTTAATCCCCATTGGGAAGACATGCTCCAGGCAAGAGGATAATGAAAATGATGATGACAATCCCGGAGGAGCGCGGGGAGCTTCTGTGAGGAAACTTCCCAGAGTCGCCAACTCCGCGGGTCGGCCAAGAGGAGAGATGGCCCCCATTCCTGGAGCCCCTCCCCACACAAAGACAGACCACGGTCTCTTTGCCACTCCTCC